CGCACAGCAGCTCTTCAGTGGCAGTGGAAGTGGTGTCAATGAAACTGATGAGATCAGTGGGGAGGATCCCAACAGTATTTTCGGGATCTCTCCTCATTGCGGCGCTCAGCCCCACCCATCATCCTAAGGAAGCTATTACAGGCTTAGGGTGCATTTCGGCTAATAGGAGTAAATTACAATATTTATTCCTTTAGCCCAAGGAATACAAAATTGGAGATAAGCTTGGATCCCATAGTTCTCCTTTAACATACAATGCAGCCTTGATATATTTAACCCTTTGCTAGGACAGACAGTGTTGAAATCTAGTTTGCAATTGATAAGATCTGTCAGCGCAGTACAGTCAAGAATAATAAATTCATATTTCTAAAAGAATGTCTTCCTGAATCTTCCATGGCACATGAAATATGCATATGCAATATGGAATTTGTGAAATAAAAAAGCTCCACAACTCACAACTATACAGTATGAAGACTTGCCTGAAATAACTAGTGGGTCTGGCTGCTCTCCAAAAAAAAAAAAAAAGGACTTTCCACAGGTTTATGGTGTTTCACCACCCAGTGAAACAGTAGCAATATTCTTTCTCACTTCTCAAGGTGCCCATACACTGCTCGATTCTCGTACGAGAATCGGGCGAAATCCCGCGATCGTACGAGAATCGAGCAGTGTGAACGAAGACGTGCGGCCGTTTCTACTGTACGGTCGCACGTCTTTTGTCGAACCAACATGCTCGAAAACCCGCCGAGAATCGTATGATTGTCGGCGGGTTTCTAGCCTGCTCGTCCGATAGCTGCGGAACGGGCCAGTGTGCGCACGCGCACACTGCCCGTTCTGCATTGCGGTCATCGGAAGCCCGCCCCTCAGCGGGACGGGCTTTCGATGATCGCAAGTACGATCTGCCCGTCCAAGGTGGCCAGATCGTACGAGCTTTCAATAAGCATACGACAATCGCAAGACAAAAGTCTTGCGATGGTCGTAAGGTGTATGGGCACCTTTAGAATGACTAAATGTAAGCAACTTTGACTGTGAGAACTTAAATGTAGCACAACATTAACACATCATTTATGTGTGCTATGAGCTTGTTCCTGAAACATTCATGCAGACTCTAGCAGTATATGAACACAATGAGATGGAATTCTGTCACGGACTGGTGGGCATATTCCATGCTTGGCAGATGAAGTTGCACACATTAGGGAAGTCATTGTCATATGCAGTAAGACTTGACAGATTGGTCACTACTCTTGATTACTTGCAATGTGGAAGAAGATCAAAATAATTCCAATTCCCCACCAGCTCCCTTGCAGCATTTTGACCTTATAAAAGAGTATTCTATAAACTGATGAATTGAAAGCCGCACTCAGCAGCCTTACTCAATTACCTAAACAATGAACACAGGAGATGTTAATATTGCAATCACACCAAAGGCCTGCTCTGAGTGCCCCTGCTGGAGATGCCATAAACTGCAGCCTGGTGTTTAGAAATACAGTATGGTACAGTTTTGAAAAGCTGGAACCCAGGGTACCAGACAGGCATTGGTTTACCAGATACAGAATTTAGATTATTGGATGGTTGCAGGACATACAGGAACAGAAAAAGTAGGTTATATATGGAAAATATAGCTTCTATCACTTAAAGTGACATTAAAGTGAAACTTTGCTCTCCCCTTCCCAATCCTGCTGTAGGGGCTTACCTTAAATAATGTCTCTTAATCCAATCATCTTCTTCTTTACTGTCCTTTAGCTGTCCCCCCCCCCCCCCCCCCCT